TGTTTTAGAATTTTGCTAAGAAATGAAATATGGCTTGTTTGCTAAGGTTCAAAACCCTAAAGTTTCATTATTATTAACTTTAAGGTTAATTCACAGCCTAGATTCTCTCTCAAAAGATTGCTTATTTTATGTCATACCTCTGATATTTCAGCTCATCAGGATTTTGTGTTCTAATGTGCTATGTGAAGACAAGACGTTCCCTTAAGTCATTTGCTGTGCCCTATTATCTTTGTATAGTCTAACCTCATTGTAACAAGCTTGCCTAGGACCAGGATAAATTCATTAAAACAGGCTGCCTGCTACAATTTGATGCACCCTAATAATGGGGGAAAAAATGGTTCCTAATGTTGAGATTTAAAAAAAAGAAGTTTGTAAACAACAGAGTTTGTTGTAATGAGGTTGTAATGTATAATAACAGAGCCCTCTATTAACATGCTTTATGGGGTTTAGATGCCATTTCTAACTTTTCATTATGAAAAAATATTTCCCACTGAAACACCTTATTTGATGTTTACATAGGGAACAGAGTTTGCATACAATATAGTTAGAGAATGTTTGCCCAAGAGAACTATTTAGTGCACGTTTCTCATAAGATTTTAGAAAGCAGTATGTATAAGTAAACAGCATGTCATTTTGTGTATATCTTATCATGTATATTTTATAATTTCATTCCCCAGTTTCTGTCAAAATGAATGGGAGTATGGTCAGCTTCTCCAATGGAACATCATTGATCTGCCACAGAGACACCAGAATTGCACATGTGGTGTTCCCAGTCCTCTACACCATCGTTTTCCTTATTGGACTGATACTGAACAGTTTGGCTGCTTGGGCTTTCTTCCAAATTCAAAGCACATCAACTTTCATAGTCTACCTTAAAAACACATTGGTTTCTGATTCTATAATGACTTTAATGCTTCCTCTTAAAATTCTTACTGATTCAGGACTAGGACCGTGGCAACTTAAAGCTTTTGTTTGTCGTGTTTCAGCTGTGATATTTTATGAAGCAATGTATGTCAGTATAGTACTACTTGGTCTTATCGCTTTTGACAGATTTCTCAAAATTGCACGACCTTATGGGAAGCTTTGGGTGCAAAATGTCACATCTGCAAAAATTCTTGCAGGGATTGTTTGGATTTCTTTCTTCAGTGTCTCTTTGCCAAACATGATTTTATCAAACAAAAAAGCCACGTCCCTCTCCGTGAAGAAGTGTGCTTCTCTGAAGAATCACTTAGGACTGAAATGGCATGAAGCTGTCAATTATATGTGTCAGTTTGTTTTCTGGGCTGTATTAATTCTAATGCTTATCTTTTATGCAGTTATTACCAAAAAGGTATACCTGTCTTATAGAAAAACTCAGAAGAAAGATAGCAAAAGCAAACGAAGGACCAAATGGAAAGTATTCATCATTGTCATAGTTTTTTTCATATGTTTTGCTCCATATCATTTTTCTAGAGTACCATACACTCTAAGTCAAACCCACCAGAGAATGGACTGTAGCATACAGAATCAATTATTCATTGCCAAAGAAGGTACTCTTTGGCTAGCTAGTACAAATATTTGCATGGATCCCCTGATATATATATTCTTGTGCAGATCATTTCTAGAAAAAGCATTCTGTGTTAAGGTGAAAAAATTTAGAAGTACAATTCATGAAAATCCAACAGTTCCAATGGACACTAGAATATCAGCGTAGATTCCTGATTTGGTAATTTGGAACTCTGTAAGTAGAAGGAGTGCACACAGCAGGCAGTATTCGATTCGGATTTGGCCCGAGTTGGGGGACAGTGATTCAATTCACTGATTCAGATCACTGTTCTGATTTGATTCAGCCGAATCTGAAGATTCGATTTCGATTCAGCCACAAGCACAGCTTTATATGTTTCTTCTATGGAATTCAAGGTACCAGGCACAGCTCATGAACATTGAGGTGGTGGAGCGGCTGGAGCATCCCACAGGAGCATGTGGGGGGAGGGAGGTTCACTACACACGCTTGGCAGCAGACCCAGAAGTAGACTGGAAGTATTTCCAGTCCACTTCTGGGTCCACTGCCAAGCACGCGGGGGACCCCCCACACCTCCCCAGCTCAGCAATCAGCCACGGGGGGGAACCCTGGGTGCCTCCCCAGACCCAGGACACACCAGTCACTGAGCCAGGGGGGCAGTGCACTTCATGGCAGACCCAGAAATACTTCTGGTCCACTTCCAGGTTCGACAGTGAGCACAAGCAGGACCCTGACGCACTCCCATGGGATGCTCCATCCACCCCACCATCTTAGCGTTCATAAGCCACGCCTGGTACCTTGATGTACATAGAAAAAACATATAAAGCTGTATTTATGGCTGAATCATCGAATCTCTCCAAATCAATTTGGAGCCTTCCGATTCAATTTGGAGAGGTTAATGAGTCTCCTGATTCAATTTGGATTCAGAGATTTGGCCACCAAATCAGGCCAAATCTCCTCCAAATTGAATCAGTGACTGAAGCTTCGCACAGCCCCAGTAATTAGCACTAAAATGTTTTCAGAGAAGTTAAAGAAAAATGTATACAATGTTTTATTTCTGAAGATGAAACAAAATGTTTGATTTTTTTTCCTTAAGCATGACTCTGTAAAATAGTATCATGGCATAACTTACATTGCTGTATGACTTCCATGTCAAAAGATACCCCGTTTAATAAGTAAAAAGCCATTTTTCTAACTGTCAAGACTGGAGATTTAGAATGAAGCCCAATTCTTAAGCCACGTCCTTTCTCTCTGACGCATCATCACCATTAAAAAAGCCAAATGTTCCTGTGATACTGCTGCAGACACAACATCTTCATATTATGCTCTGAAAGATATCTGTACAACCTCACTGTCATCAATGGAACTGCACACCTATAACCGTTTAAAAATGAATGGGAAAGAACCTTATTGACGATACATAACAAAATCATACAAAATGCAGCTCATCTCTTGCATAGCTGTGTTTGTTCTGCAGGACTAACAAGAATAGACAGCAATGAAAGCATTTTAGGCACTAAAGCAAGCAGGCTAACCAAGCGAATGCATTCAGGATTTGGAGTTGATGAAAAGGATTATGGCCTAATCTGAATAACAAGTTGAAGAATGACTGTGAATGGATAGTTATTCTACTTCTGGTATGTGAGAAACTAGGTACATCCAAAACAAATGACGTATTTTTGCTGCCTGACAACAAACACCTGCTCAATTTTAAGGTTTTTTTCCATTGCCTATATTAGTAATCTTTAAACTAGCTTCCTGTATACCCTACAGTAGACCTGTGTGAAGCCAGCAGACCAGCTAGTATTCACTTTGGAATCAGCCGATTTGGGGGACAGCGATTTAATTCAGTGATTCAAATCACTGTCCTGAATTGACTTGGATGAATCAGATGTAGAGATCTGGCAGCGGCCGAATTGGACAGGCCACATTCCCCACCTGCTGTCCCAGCCCTATCAGTGGCTGCTGCTCTGCCTGGTCCCAGCTCCCCGCTCTTTTAAAACAAAGCCCCAAACTCACCAGCTGCTGCCAGGTGGGGCGATCCCCGCTGCCCCGTGCTGTATGGGCGGCAGGGCTCTGCTACGAGCCTCCCAACCCCTGCCTGCTCTCCAAGCCCCATCCCCCATGGCTGCCCCACCCAGCCCCAGCATCAGCATTTTAAAACAAAAAACAAAAAATAACCCTGAACTCACCAGCTCCTGCCAGGCAGGGGAGCTATCCCGATGCCCCCACCACGAGGGGCTCTGTTCACAAGCTCCCAGAGGCCCCGCGATTTTTTTTTTTTTAATTATTATTTTTTAAAGAGCCAGGAGCTGAGGCCAGGTAGGACAGCCATGGGGGGGGGGCTGGGAAAGTAGGTGGGGTCCCCCCATGGTCCCCTCCCCTCTCTCCGGCCCTCTCTCTACCGCCCTCTACTTACCAGGATGGAGTCTGGGTCCAGCTCCCTGCAGCAGCGAGTGGGGACTGCCTGAATCTCCGAAGCTCTCCAAATCGACTTGGAGAACTTTGAATTGATTCAGACCTTTTTACTGGTATCCTGATTTGATTCAGATTCGAAGATTCAGCTGCCGAAGCAGGCTGAATCTCCTCCAAATCGAATCAGCACCTGAAGCTTCACACAGCCCTACCCTACAGTACCTCAAATCATATAATAGAGAAATATTTTTTTCACAACCTAAAAAAAAGTTATAAAGGGAAAGCTGTGTCCCCAGCCCCCATGCTGTACTACTCACTTCTCCTATTGTACCACCAAAAGAACCTCTTCTCCAAAACTTCTTTTTCTCCTTCCCAACATTAATGGAAAGCGAAAATATACTTGTGTTGAGGGAAGCTCTTTGGAGATCCAGGCTCCACAGGAGACCCAAGGCACAGCCATATTCTTCTGCAGCCCTTGCAATGCTCCCAGTTGCTTTTTGTTAGGAAGCATGAACTGAGATCTGCTGATCACACACTCCCATTTTTCAACACAGACATTTGGGGAGGTCAGATTGAGTTAAAAGTGGCCACCTCATGAAAGTCAGGATGGATGGACTAGCAGGGGTGGTTTGGGGGGCAAACAGGGTCCACAGGAGGGGTTGCTAGGTTTCAAAAGTGTTTTTTAGGATCAGGAAGACTCATGGAGGCCTTAGGGGGATATTTTTAGGCCCCCAACCCCCCCTCCATCTCCATATGAAGACCCCCCACAGCAAGCCAACCCCCTCATTCCACCCACCCCTCACCCCACTGGAACTTACTTTGTCAGCTTCTGGCTATGGCAAATGTTCATAAAACTGGCACTGGGAGCAGCTCGTGCAATGGGGGAGTCTGGCAGGCTCACGGGGACTGGCTGGTTCACAGGGAGAGCATTATCAATCTGGGGGTGAAGGGAGGGATCAGTGGGATAAAAGTAGCCCAGTGCCAGGGAAGGCATAGGAAAGGCACACCTCCAGGGCTGCGGCTGGAATCTGGTCTTTCCCAGCCCTAGGGCTGCACTGGGTACTGTACAGAAGTTTAGGACACTTAGATTGGTCTAAAAATGGCCAACTTGATCTAAGTTGAGTGTACCTCTAAGGTAGGGTTAACTTGGATCAGTTCAGCCATTTTTAGACCAATCTAACTCTCCTGAACTTCTGTACAGCCCACACTTAGATGGACCTAATTAGGGATCCAAGTGTAACATCTTCACCTAGATGAATTAAGTTAGATCAGGTGGCCCTTTTTAATGCCATCTAACCTGTCCCTAATGTCTGTATGCACCCATAGAGTGCTTGCCTCACACCTCATTTGGAACTTCATTACTTGGACTTACAAATACTAAATGGAAAGAAGACAAAAAGCCACACAGGATAAACTCTCTTCTTATTGCCCTGAGCTGCCTGCCATGTTCCACTTGCATGACTGTGGCTCCCATAGCTGCTACCTGTCTCAAATAGGAGGTGGTCAGAAGTCTAAAGAGATGTCTCTCCTCTCCTAATCTCCAAAGACTGCTGGGCCATGTCTGGAAGAGTGCGGACATGCAGAATGTCTGCGGCACCATGCACCACACATGCAGGGTAGCAGCATGGGGAGTCAAAGAAAACCCACACCAAAAAAATAGGGTGGCATACATGGTGGCAGCATGCACCATCCAAAAACTGGAGCCTGGCTGGCCAAAAATATGCTCTGCCTGCTGGCTAGGCTTCCTGCTGCAGCTGCAGCTCCAGGAGGACCCAAGGACCCCAGATAAGGCTGCTGGGGCCAACACAGTTGCTGTCCCCAGCCTCCCCTACCCCACCCAGGGTAACCTGCCATGCACCAGAGTGCACATGGCATGGGCATTCCCCAGGGAAAAGAAACAGCAGTGTGAAGTGTGTCACTGCTACTTGTCCCTGGGAAAACAAAATGTCCATGCTCATCTGGATGTTCCCCTGACATTTTTCATGATGGGCTATTGCTCTTAGTCAGCAAAAGTCTAACATTAAATTATTGATCCAAAGAGTTGAACAAAGTAAACCATATAAAATAACAGCTTTATTAAAATATTAAGCATTCCAAAGTTCTGTGTTTTTCTTCCTTCTTTCCTAATGGCTATATCCAAGCTATTACTGGATTTACTCTTACACCTCTAAGGAGAACTACAACAATAGGGAAGTGATTTGGCAAGGGAACAGAGGGAGGATCTTTTATCAATTCTGGTTCTGATATACTGGCTAACTATTTATCTTCAGACATTTTTCCTGTACAAGTATAAGACAATGTAGTGTTGATTACTTAGCTTCCATGTTTTACTTTTAAGGTATTCTTAGAATTTTTTTTTATTTCCAGTGAAAATTTATAAAAACACGTTGGTTGCTTGTTGTCCCCTCCTTTTGCAAAGGAGTTTTAAGATTGTCCAACATTTATGCTATATTGGTAGAACTGAATACAATTCAGTACCTTATCTATTACACCTTCTCCACTAAATGAGTTCAACTCCAAAAAATAAGCCTCCTTGAACTATAATGTTCCACCTGAACTACAGCTGAGACCTAAGAACCCATTCCTTAAATTACTTATCAAATTCTCAAATTTCAACATTAACCAAAGTAATATCAGCTGATTCTTTCAGTATGCTTTACAACTGATGGATTAAATCTTCACTCTGCACTTTTGTTAATTTGGCAAAAAAATAAAAGGGCACAGTTATGGCTTATTGCAGTAATCCTAGAAGTCAAAATACTCTTTATACTTTATTAGCTATTTAAATTAAGGCAGCAGGAAGGAATTAGAAAACCAAATATTCTTTACACACTTTATTGCTACTGTGGCTAAAACTACATTAAGCAGAGATTATATGCAATGGACTGAAAGTTAATAATGGTCTCAAAGCAGACAAAGTATCAAAAAACATTCCCCATACTCCTGAACTTGGAGAAAGTTTAAATCTGGATTTATAGCTAACTTTACACTGAAGCGTTTCCCAGAAGCACTGCAACATTGCCCTGTTGAGGAAGCTCACGAATTTCAAATATGTACTAAACTCCTAGTCTCAAATAGGACAGCAGCTCAAAATGATAAAACTCTATACAAGTTTCTAGGAAAAGAAATGGAAAGGGAAGGAAACTTTATTTCCATCCCCCAGCCCAGCTTACTTTTATGCTGCTTATAAGGAGGTGCTGTGATTTAGCATTCTTCAGCTTATACTGCAAAGTATAGGAAAGAAACCTGCACCTAATGACAGGTGGAACCACAAAATGAACTCCAGTGCTTTCATAATGAGGGACATGCCACAGGATTTATAGAAGTCTTTATTGGCTGTTTCTCAGCAACTTAGGTGTCAGGAAGTGAAAGGGAGGAAGATATACACTAATAGTTATGATACAGAAAGGATAACCTGACTGCAGAAGTAAGAGACAGCCACTTCCTTGCCCACTTCTAGAAACAAATATCTGTCAGGTTCTGAAATGTTTTTTCACCATCTTTTGTAGTTCTGGTTTCCATCTGGAGCTAGGAATGCATGCAGCTATCAAACACCAAAAATAAAACACACCACAGCACATTAGAAACATCTTAAGAAAGTGCCCTCTTAAGATTTCCAGCCCAGTTTTACGATTCAGGAAGAGCTAATCTTTCCATTTAAAATTCACTCAAGTATAATCAAGTGTACCTTAGGATAAGAAGTCCAGTTCAAAAGTACTGCTTCCTTATTGGAGGTCACATGATTTTGTCTAAACCATCTTAGCATATGATTGTTAATCCAGGATGCTGTATTATATTTATTAAAATTAGATATGGGAAAACTACTTGGGATAACCTTTCCCCTAAACCTTGGGGTCAACTGCTTTTGTTGGGAATCTTTTCCATTTTTACTGCTTGCCTTCTTACTCTTTTTTGCTCCTTTCTGAAGCCAAGCATAAATGTTTCAAGAATATCATTTCTCTCAGAAGAGAGAATACATATGAGAAATCTTTTACTTGACCACAGCAGCCACACCACAAAGGCTGTTATTCTGGGTTTTCCAGTCATCTTCTGCACATAGATAAACCCAAAAAAAACCCTTCAAATAAACCCTAAGCAAAATTAATGCTCTCAGTTTACTGCAAACCTTACTTTTTTCCCCAATTGTGATGCGATAGAGCAGGCTGGTGCATCACTAGGGCTAAAGTTAATGAAATGCCTAGTTTTTCTACTTTGAGCAGTAGTAGAGGAGAGAGAAAACTTTCACAAGATTTTCATACTTTGAGTGTTGTGATGGATACATCATCACTCAACAAAATCACTATTTCAACCATCTCCATGTTTCAAGAATCCAAGGGGCATACTCCATCTGATAATCTATTAACATGGAGCTGAAGCAACTAAAGGATTGGAGAGCTTTGTAAATGCTGGTTCTGAGATTCATTCTTCCTTTGCTCCATTAACAGCATCAAAACAAAGCAGAAGTAAATGAGTTCAGCAAAAAATCATCTTCAACTAAAACAGACTAATACCCATTGGCAGAGCCTTGGAAGACATTAACAGAAAATAGATAGATTTCTAGTAAAGTAGGGTGATCAGTAAATAGAACTTTCTCCAGTGTCATTGCTGTGTCACTGCTGACTTAACTGTGCACAGACTAGAAGAATAATTCATCAATTGGCACCATTTCCCTGGGTAGGTACTGTGGTAGTGGATTTGGTCGGGCATCTGGCCTACTTGACTAGGAAAAGAGACAAAGACCAGCAGTGCTGATACTGCTTATTTCAGTTATATGTTCTGAGATGAGGAATCCTGCATGCCTTGTTTTGTCTTGATATATTACCCTGTGCACAGATGTTTTCTTTAAGTAAACTGTCTGTATGCCTGTGTGTGATTTACTGTTTGTTTTGTTTCTCCAAGGTCGTATTTTTTTCTCTCTCTGTCTTAAGTATAAATATGTTTGTAAACATATAGAGTTCGAGAAATCCTTTGAAACAGACAAGTAGGTGATTCCCCTTGCTGTATGGAATTCTCCCTGTGATCACAGTATAGCCCTAAATAAAGACAAGCTGGCTCTGTTAGTTCTGATTCAACCACAATGTGAAGTTTGATTTCTTCCACAGTACCGAGGAAGGTATGTCGATATGTTCCACTATAAACCTTGGGCGTTTCTAAAGGTAGAAACACTCTTCAACTTGCCTACAAAGCTCAAGTTTCAGAATAAGATTAAGACATGTCATAGCATCTCATGGCCTCTGTAGCTGAAGCAACTCAGAACTTAGAATTTTTGTTGAATGAAGTTTTTTGGATGCCTGAGGCACCATGCTTATGTTGCAAACTTTGGTCATTTCATAACTTTTCTACGTTAAAAATAAACAGAGACACTATAAATCTCACCAAGAGGTTAACTGGCATAAAAAATAGTTTAGCTTTGTCGAACATAATGGTAAGAAGTTTTAGCATGAAGCAACAAAAAATAATTGTTATAATAAAGTTGCTCAGGTTCTTATGAAATCTAAGAACTGCTCTGTAATCACTAGAATGCATGAAAGTAAATTCAGCCTTTAAATAATCAGCATAACAACAACATTACAGGTTTGTTTTCAGCTGCTCATTTCATCAAAGCTTTACATTTCTTTTACACCACCTTCATGACTAACCTCATAGCCTTCCCCATTATATGCTTACTAGTCTTGACAAGCTGTGGCTTGAAAGCTGGGACACAGTATGCTTAGATTAAGAGCATGTAGGATCTTATTATTAACCTTTTCATGCTCTAACTTTTTTATTGATAAATCCATATACATAGCATTTTTCATAAAAAGTTATTAGATCAGTTCCCTAAATCGATAAATAACTGTTATTTCGTTTTTTATATCATGGCCTTCAGTTGTATCTGGCCACTGTTAAAACACATCCATCTATTATATTGACATGATAACAATTAATACCTTGACTCTTCTGGCAAGTATTAAAATTACATCAAAGTAATTTAGCTTAATTTATTTTGATTTCCCTTCTTTAGTTAGGTATCTTAAGCAGACATCCTACTTTGCCTTCTTGGAAAAAAAGTGATACTATTAGCCACCTGCTTAAAAGACATCTGTACTAATAAATTTAGCTGCCTAAGTCCAAGAAAAATGCATAAACTTTCAAGTAAAGCTGTTGTGCTCTCCACCTAATCCTGGGCACATGTAATGAAGTCTACCTGCCTCTGAATTTTTTCATGAATACTTTTGAGGAAGAAGAGCTCAAGAATGCACACACAGACACCCACACACCCCTTGCAAGAACTCACAAGGGCAAAGGCAACTTCCAGTGGTAGACTGGGCTTTGGGGTTACTGTGGACAGCTTCCAAAAAAAAAAAAAAAAAAAAAAAGAGCAGGTTTTTATTTTTTTGGATCTCTTAGAAGGCTGAAGAAATTATTCCCTTCTTCCTCCATTGGCTTGAAATAAATTTTGTTCTGTGTTAACTCTCTTTCAGATTCACTCATGCAACGGCAACCACCACCTCACTATTTAAAGAAATGCATATCCAAATCTTCCTGCCTGCAATGGAAAAAGTGAAAGTATAATTCATGTCTACAGCACTACCCTCCTAGTAGCAAGAAGCACAAAATGAGCCAAGATTATGGTTATTTCAATTAAAATCTTTCACTGTACACAAAAAAATTGTGTAACATGGTTTCATTCAGTATTATTTAGAAAAGAATATCTGATCAGAACACAACATTCAAGATATCTAAATATAAATAAAGTTAAGGAAATAAGCAGGTAGTATAATGGTTTTGACCAACAGAAGACAGATTTACATCAGTCCAGCACAAGGTTTCAGAGCATTGTATTAAATTCCTACTTGTTTCCAACTATTAAATGCTATTAACTGAAACAAATGGTATTATATTGTAAATGTAATGTGTGAAACAGGAGGAATGAGGGAGCAGTCTGAAGAGCTGTGTTAATTGACTACAAACTCTTGGGCTAGGTACACACAGTCAAAAAGCCCGAGGCTGAATCGATTCAGTCTTTGCAGATTAGTCTAAGTGGTACAGATTAAACTGAAACAAGTGAACAGACATTTACCTTTGATACAGAAAATGAAGCCATATGCCTGCAGTGGCTCAGGCTAGAAGCCGGGGGGTGGGGGGAGATGCTAAAACACAGTTCTCTAGCTGTGTTCACTTCCTCTTCCTGCTGCCCCCAAGGTCTCTGGGATTTGCAACCCAGAATTACAGCAGCAGGACTCTTCAGAGTTGCTCATCACTTCCTCTTCCTGGTGCCTCTGCGATTTGTAGTCCACAGAGTTGCAGCTAGCAGTACATTTGAGTGGGGGAAGAGGTGTTTAGTCCCCCACCCTGGCCCCTAACCCCAGCTGGGGTCTGCCGGGGGGGTGCAGTACACCCCCCCCCCCATAGACTAGATTGCATCCCCAGCCAGGCTTGCCCTCCCTCACCCCTTTGTCCACCAGTCCTCACTGTTCCAACTAGAGAGGAGAGGGGCAGGGCCAGCCCTGCTCTCTGGAGCAGACAACCCAACCCAACCCAGGGCTGCAAAATGCTGGGTGATTGTGATATAACTTAAACCAGGAAGGGGTTTCTGGGACAGAAATTTCATAATCCAGTTTGACCAAAATCAGTTAAGCGTGATACTACATCCAACCAGGTTCATCTCAAACCAGTTTCAGCCACTTTGGCTAGGGACAGACATTCAGTTTGCACCTGAATTGATTCAGTCTTTGCAGGTTAGTCTAACCTGGCTAGGCTGAACCGGTTTGTAACTATACAGACAACCCCCTCTGGACTGAAGAAATGTCGGCACATGCCTGCAGTGGTTCAGCCTAGAAGCTGTGACCCTATCCCCTATGATTTTATGTATAAAAGTGGGAACTCCCCCTTGCTTCTTGTGCCAGTTTCTGGGGTTGCAGGGTTGGCACAGGATGACTGAATACAAAGCATGCTTTCAGCCTCTTCACAATATCTCCTACATTAACATCTCTGCCTTTAAAGACATGAATCCGCCTCTTCAGGTGAATCACTGTCTGCTTCTTTCGCCTTAGTATTACTGAAGACCCAGGAAGTGAACACTACATTTGAAGATATCACCTACACTAGCATGAGTCATTCAGTAATGAGAAAGCTAGTTGCTCCAGTTGCTCCCAGTTGAGAGAATTTTGACTTTGATTGAATGCCACAAAAAACAAGCAAAAGTGAGAAATCTCCGTTTCCAGTGATGTTTTCTCTCTTGTTATTGCAAGTTATACTTTTATGCCTGAATTAGTTACAAAGCACATGCTTGTGGAATTTAATGCATTCTGGAGATGTGGCAGAGCAACGAATGGACAGCAAGAATGATGACAAGTAAGTACATTTTTAATGATCTTAAAAGGGTCTGATAAGTTGTTGTATAACTCACCTTGTTCTTAACTACTGTTAAGCAGATGGAGAATGAAGGTTAAAATACTGCTGTTTAAAAGTACTTAGAATCATAAATTAGAAATCATGTTAATGAAACAGGCCGAAGGTTTGCCATTAACAGGCTTTTATTACTCTTCAATCTATTCAAAATTTAATGTAGGGTAATTTCTGTTTTCAAAAGATAAGAAGCTATTAGTAGTTTCTCTTAAGGTATGTCCACAAACATAAAAGTTCAGAGCCTTAATAACAAATGTTGCTTCTTAAATGTGAAGTAGCTCATATTAAGCAGAAACAACTAATTGTCAAATATATTAGAAAATGTTTAAGCTCAATCTCTTTCACTCTCTTTTTCAATGTACTTGTACAGCATAAGGGCTACCTTCCTTCAAACTCCCCTGAAATCATGTTAAAACTTGTCAGGTTCACTGGAAGAACCACATAGCTTTTAACAAACAACTTACAAAGCACATGAGCTGTACTTTTGATCAAAGTTCAGGAAGTCCAGAAGATATTGTCAAAAGCCACATCATTTAATAATTATCTGACACTCAGTTACCAAGGAAGATTCAACTGTAACAATAAATCAGTTTTAGATTTTAAAAATGAGCACTGATTTACTATACAGTATAGTCTGGTATACTATATAGTATGTACTCTGGTCATCAGCACCACTTTCCCATGATGTGTGTTTGGTCTTGTTGTAAGTAGGTCTGGATTTATTTTCCAATGATAGAGGTTTTAGGAACTTCTTTTAAAAAAATTACACCTGGAGTCTTGTTACAAACACTGATCCTCTGACACTACATGTTCAGAACTGCACCCACCAGGTTATATGAGCAACTTTAGTACATCTCTATAACTACAACTCCAAACAAGTATTTTCTTGTATCATTTTAGTCTTGGGGCTAACAGAGAACATGAATTCATTTTTTCAGTTTTATTTATAATGTGGATCTCCCTGCTACTTCTCCCATTGGTAATCTTCAGCATGCCACCCTATGTGGTTCAGGAGGCTGTGTAGAAGCTGAAACAGGAGTAGCCTGCTGAAGAGGTGGTCTTGTTTGGGTGTAAGGCCGTCACTTTGCTTCTATAAGTAAATGGGTTTCCAAGGCTAAAGGAGTCTGCTAGTAAGGAAATGAAACAGGTATGCGGGGAAGAGGCTGACATGGTAAGATTTTAGAAACAGAAAGCATCTGTTTGCCTCAGAGATGTGGACTCTGACAGGGGGGACTATCAAATGTTGGACTGCCTTGCTCCCTCCTACAGCCTGTTTGTACATCTGCATTCCTCCTCCTCCAACTTCTTCCTATTCTTACAGTTTGCTTTTTCCCAACACCTTGCAGTCTCATTCCCAGTATACACCCCCTGGCTACTGGTGCTTGCCTTTAGGGGAAGGCAGCTCATTCAACACCTGCACAAGGCAACCATTCATGCACTAGCACGCAACACCTGGGCTGTTCCAAAGCTCTGCAGGCACTTTGGGCTTGGAACAGCCTACCTAATAGACATACAAGTGAAGTAGAAAGTCATTCTGAAATCAGTGTAACATGAGGCACTGAATCCTTTAAATTCCTTCTACATAAATAAAGTGGAGCCAGAATGGAGGAAGTGTACTAAAGTGAATTTTATCTCATCATGAATATAAGCACAAAGACAGAACAGTAGTACATCAACAGCCAGATGCTCCATGTAAACCAGGAAGTCAGGTGATCCTACCTGTACAAAGGATTGAATAGGGCACCAAATAATACATACAGAAAAAGAAAATACACATAGGCAGAGGACAAAAAATACATTTAGTAAAATTATGTGATCACGCCAACAGGGGAAATTTCCTTCCTCTCACTAAAGACTTTGAATTTCTATTTTGTGAAGAGAATTACCTGCAAAGCCATTTAGGCTAGGGACAGAAGTTGCACATAAACCAGGTTAAGTGATCAGAAACTGGTTTAAACCTGTAACAGAACATAAGTTCAGTGCACATAAATCATTTTCAAAATGGCTGAAATTGGTTTAAGATAAACCTGGTTGAATGTCGTAAGACTTAACTGGGTTGGGTCAAGCCAGTTTATGGAACCTGTCCCAGACCCCTTCCTGGTTTAAGTTAAAACAGACTCCCCCAGCATCCCAGCATGCTTTTCAGCCCTGGGCTGGACTGTGCTGTCTGCTCTAGAGAGCAGGGCTGGCCCTGCTCCTCTCCTCCCTCGCTGGAGCACTATCACTGCTCAGGCTGGCTGAGGAGTTGGAGACTGCAGGCACAGCAGCATCTGCCTGGCTTTCCCCCCCCCCCCCCCCCTTGCCTCTCAAACAGGAATCCCCTGCTCTGCCTTCCCTCTCCTCTCCCAGAGCACAGACCCCAGCCAGCATCTGGTCACAGTCACATCACCACCTGCTAACTAATGCTGAAAGGTGTCTATGCATGTGTGCGGGTATCTAATTTCACTGGGACAAAAGCAGAGAGAACAGTGTCTGCTTAGGGCTTTTTAGAACTAATCAACAGGTCAGCTGGTAAATTTCCCTCCATTCCATCCTAGGGAAAAGATTTTTTAGAAAAGCTTGAACTAATGAGAGAGGCTTTTGTTTTCTTGATGGGCTGTGATAATCTTTGTGTTATCAGCTCCCTGCTGACTTGCTTGCCTGTCCGGTTTGTGGTAGACAGTATGAAGAAGAAGGGACAGGGTGACTGAAAACCTCAGTATCATCAACAGATGCATGCACTGCATAATCCCTCCCCCTTCGCCTTAGAGTGCTAGCCAGGGGATGAGGTCTGGCAACAAACACTCCTGCCCCTGGAGCAATGAGCCAGGAAAAGCCTAGGACTGTGCAAGCAGGGTTGGGGTTTAAACCTGTCCCTAATCACAGTCCTGCCAGGGCCTGGCCATGTGCCACCCCCACCCCCACTCAGTGTTGTGGAAGGGACGGGAGGGCTGCTTTAGTCCCCCTGGCTTCTAGCCTGAGCCACTGCAGGCTTGTGCCTGCATTTCTAGATTTAAAAGTGAAGAGGAGTGATACTTACCCTCTATTGGGCGCTGATCAGACCGCAGTTGGAATACTGCATGCAGTTTTGGGCATCACACTTCAAGAGGAATGTGGATAACCTGGAGAGGGTCCAGAGGAGGGCCACTTGCATGGTTAAGGGCTTGCAGGCCAAGCCCTACGAGGAGAGACTAAGGCACCTGGACCTCTTCAGCCTCCACAAGAGAAGGTTGAGAGGCAACCTTGTGGCTGCCTATAAATTCATCATGGGGGCACAGAAGGGAATTGGTAAGGCTCTACTCACCAAGGCACCCCTGGGGGTCACAAGAAATAATGGCCATAAGCTAGCAGACAGCAGATTTAGACTGGCCATTAGGAGGAACTTCTTCACAGTTAGAGTGGCCAAGGTCTGAAATGGGCTTCCAAGGGAGGTGGTACTCTCCCCTACCCTAGGGATCTTCAAGAGGAGGTTGGATGGGCATCTGGCTGGGGTCATCCGAACCCAGCACTTTCCTGTCTATGCAGGGGGTCGGACTCGATGATCTATTGAGGTCCCTTCTGACCCTAACATCTATGAATCTATGAATCTATCCACTTGCAAGTTGGTTCAAGCTCTGCAGGTTAGACTAAACTTCAAAGATTGAATCAATTCAGGCTCTGACTTTTTGAATGTCTGTCCCTACCCCTTCAGTTACAAAGGACGTCCTTACTGAGCTAAGTAGCCAGTAGGCAGAGTCATGCAAGGAGAGCTATAGTAACAGAGCCCATGACACTTAACCTAGTCAAATTAAATACACTATATTCATATAACAGTTTGAAATATTTTTAGTTGGAGAAGGGTTGATAACGAGACATTCATGATATCACAAAGCACAGAGAAGAACTGCCTGTATAGAATCTTCCACATTATTCAACTGCTGCCTTCATAAGTCAACTAAGTTAAGTGAAATAGCAAACCAGCTGCTGATAGGAAAGGCAACAGCTAATGAGAATGAGCAGAGAGACTTTTTTTAAGCTACTTTTTTAAAAGCTTTCTAAGACACCTTTATAAAATGTGCTCACCGCTTTTCAAGAAAAGATCCCACTTCTAACATTAGGACTTTAAAGGCATCTCTGAGTTGTGTCATTGATGGGTCCCAGAGAGGATAAGACAGAACATGTTCTGCCTATTCAAGTCTGCTGACATGCTGCAGAGCTAGAAGTTTAGTAATGATGTTGCTCCAGGTTTGTCCCCAGTGCTTAGTCTCGAGTGCACTGGAGAGATGACTTGGTTTTCCCAGCCATGGTCAGTCCCATCCTACCTAAGACCCACCACTACCATAATATAGACAAGCCCTGAGTAAATTTGACAAGGAAAACTCTGTTTATAGAAAAATCTTTTCTTTTTCTCATTGATGTACACCCTGATTTGTCTGTGGTAACTCCTGCAAATCTTCATTCCCCAATCTCTTATTTGTATTCCTTGGGAAAAATTCTCAACAATCCAAAAGAACAACTGGGCGTGAACATTTAAAAGCCGCGTTTGGGGTCTCCAAATCAGCAACCGCTGCTGCTGCTGCCACTACACAGAGAATGCCTGTCAGAGTAGCTATAATAAAGAGGAAATAGGACCCAGAGCCAGGCATCCCATCCCCTTCTCCAATTTACACTTAATGCAGCAAGTCCTGTAGCTTAAATATAAATGATGTATAACACTGTCCCAAAAAAGGAGTTCAAAAGCCTGCTCCCATGCTTTCTTGGGGGAGAGGGTGTGACAGTAGCACATGAGACTTTGCTCAAACTTTTTCCCTTTTAAATAAAAATTTAGAAATGCATACAAAGAAAATATTTCAAAATAAAGTAACTTTGGTTCAAAGTTAATTTGCTTAAAATTGAATCAAGATTGCCTGGAAAATCTTTCCTCAGCTTCAATGTGTCCAAACTACAATAAAGTCTTTAGTCATATACTTTTTCCTTTAAAAATGTCT